CATATACACAATACTATCGTTACCCTGATTACCTCCTCAAATACCTTAGTGAAAAAGTTAATAAATTCGTAAGGCAGGAACGTCCTTTGTAAAACCATGCTGAGGATTCGTTGATTATTTTTGCTTTCAAGGTGGCTACGAACTGCCCGGCCAAATTTTGATTCCTAAATTTCCCATATGGAGGTTTGCTTATTGTCTATAGTTTGAAGCTAAGGACTGTCACCTGTTTTGAAATAGGTATTCCACTTTGCCATTTTCCACTTATCTGGCCCATGCAGTTTGTAGTGATATGTTGAAAAGATTAGCCAAAGGTGTGCTAAGCTCTCTTTACATTCCTTTAGAACCTTGCTAAGTTCTCGGGCCTGGGTTTGTAGGTTTTATTTATCTATTTGCTAGGACATGTCATTGTGACCTAATAGTGCACAGTTTATTTCGTCCTGTTCTACATAATTTTCATACTGGATATCTGGATCTCCTGTGTAAAAATGAGAGAAGTTGTGTTAAAATTCTACACATTTCCTTATCACGTCAGTGAGGACCGAGACTTTTGAGTGGGCCTATTTGTCCTGATCTTATTGTATACCTGAAGAATCTTTTGGGTTATCTTCGATTCTCTTGCACTTTAACCTCATATCTCTTTTTGCTTTCTATTCCTTTTTATTTCTCTTTAATGAATATACGATTTCTTAATGCCCTCTCCTCTTTTGATTTGCCTATATATGCTCTCTTTTGACCAATCAGATATTTTAATCTATTGTTCATCCATTTAGGATATTTTTGTTTGATCTGATTTCCCTATTTGGAACATAATTTGATGGCAGCTAGAACTATGCCCTGGAAAGCATCATATCGGCAACCATCACCCCCTAACCTGACCCCTAGTCAGGTCATTCCAGTTCAGCCCACTTAAGAAATTTTTCAGTCCTATGAAATCACCCAAGCGAAAGTCAGGGACGGAGACTTGATTGCCATTATTAGGGGAATTCCATGATATGTTAAAAATGAGTGATTTGTGATCATCTCCCCAAGCTCTTCATTAACCTCAAGATTATTAATTAGTGTTTCCCTACTGGCAAGAAACCAAGTCAAGGAGGTTATTTCCCCTAGTTGGCTCTGTCACAAACTGTTTTAAAAAACAATCCTGGAATCGTATCAAGAAAGTACCCCCGACTCTAAATTTCCTGTCAAATTGCCCCAGTCAATCTGTCTATAGTTGAAATCTCCCATTAGCACAACATTTTCTATGTAGATGCCTTACGAATTTCGGTCCCATAGAAGTTTACTGCATCCCTATCAAGATTTGGGGCCCTGTAAATCACACCAAAATTAGTTTTTCTGGGCCCCTCGAGAAGCTGTAACAAACAGATTCAGTGGTGACGCTTCTAATTTAATATCTTGTCTAACACAACAATTTAAATTGTCTCTGACATACATCGCTACTCCCCACCTTTCCTGTTGACCTGTCAGTGTGGAATATTTATAGCCTTGTATGTGACATTCAGATGGCATCTCTCTATCTTTCAGATTGAGCCCGGTCTTGTTATAGCAATAATATCTATGTTTCCCGCACTTGCAATTAATCTTAGCTCATCTATCTTATTTCTAACATCCTGTATTGTTTTTAGTAAACCTTAAGGGAGCTAGTCCCTTGCTGCCCTTGCTGTCCCCCCTTTTTTTTTGACCTGTTCTATTGTCTTTATTTATAACTTCATGTTGAATGCCTTTTATACATTTACTGTTTCCAACCCTAGTGTTGCAAACCTGCTTGTTTCCCACACACACCCCTACCTCTATCTTCCATCAGTTTAAAATCATAGGCATTTCACCAATGGCCTTCTCAAACGAGTCTGCAAGTGTACCACCCTGCCCAGAGAGATGAACCCATCCCTTGATACATATCATGTTTGCCATTTAAAAGTTGTTCCAGTTGTCAATGAATGGGATTGCAAGTTCCTTGCAGTATCTGTCTAGCCAGCAATTTACACAATTGCCCTAGACAAACATTCATTCCTACTCCCCTTCTAGGCAAGATGCTACATATGATTGGGATCCCCCCCTTAGACTTAATGAAAAAATTATAGCTGACCTGTATTATCTAGCAGTCTTCTCTCCTACCCTTCCAATATCATTTCCACCAGCACTTGAGACAGATTAATGGGTTGTTCCATTACCCTGACATGATATTATCCAGTCTGTTGACAATGTCCCAACACCAGCTCCAGGGAAGCACACTCTATCTCTCATCTTCTTATTCCTATTACAAAAAGCACGGTCAACATATCTTACCTGAGAGTCACCAACCACAAGATATGCGCTTACCTTCATTAGCAGGGGCAGTAGTACCCTTACCTTCACTGGCCACTGAAGTACATTCATCCTGGAGAACAGAGAAGCGATTTCCTACCTTCAGATCTTCACTCTTAACTTTCCTTACTCTGATGCGCCTCCCATTACTGTGAACAACTCGCCACTTGTAGCAGGTGCTGGGCTGCACCTCACTGCTGGTACCCGTTGCTACCTCCCCACCTACAGCCTCCTCACAGTGAGAGACAGACTGCACCTCACTGCTAGAAGCCTCATTCCTCATATATAATTATGTATTCAATATAATTCACTCACCACTATGATCTACCTCCTCAGATACCTTAGTGAAAAAAGTTAAGTTCTCAAGGCAGGAACGCCACATTGTACAACCGTGCTGAGATTCATTGATCAATTCATGTCTTTCAAGGTAGCTTCGAATAGCCTCGACAATAATTGATTTCATCAATTTTCCAACAATGGAAGTTATGCTAATTGGTCTATAATTTGAAAGTAACGGCGTGTCTCCTGCTTTGTAGATAGGTATCACATTTGCCATTTTCCACTTGTCTTACACTATGGCAGTTTCTAGTGATATGTTGAAAAGACTAACTAATGATTTGTTAAGTTTCTCCTTACATTCCTTTATACCCCTTGAGAACAGTTCATCTGCCTAGAGCCTAATAAACTAGTCTGGACTTTTCTAAAGAGTAATAAACTGGTCCAGAGCTTGATAGACGTTTTAAAGAGTATAAGAAGACTGATCTAAAGCTTTATAGACTGTCTTAGAACTTAATAAGATGGTCTAGAGCTTGATAAAATTGCTTTAAGATTAACAGACTGGTCTAAAGCTGAATAGCCTGGCATAGAGTTTAATAAATTGGGTTTAGAACCTGATAGAGTCCACAACTGATAGATTGATTCCAGACCTTGATAGATTAGTGTAGAACTTAACAGATTGATCTAAAACCTGATCGAGCGTAAACTTTGATAAACTGATGCAGAAGCTGATAAAAAGATAAAGAACCTGATAAACTATACTTGGAAGGTAGTTGAGGACCTGGTCCCACTGATGTAATAATATATTGGAGTGAGAGATATGGAAGGAAGTGCAAGATAAAGCCAGTCAAAAGCAGGGGTGCAGTGAGCACAATAAAGGAACACTGTATCAACATTCGTGGTCCTAGACTATTCAAGATCTTACCAGAAGATATCAGAAACACTGCTAGGAAAAGTGTAGAAGTCTTCAAAAGGAAACTGGACAAGTATCTTCACCAGTTGCCAGATCAGCCAGGCTGTGACGGATATGTTCGGCAGCGGGCCACCAACAACAACAGCCTGGTTAACCAGGCAAGTAACAGACGAGCCTGACCCATGGCGGGGCTCCGGGGAGTAGAAAAACTCTCGGAACTCATCAAAGGTATATCAAAGGTAAAGATAACTGAGGCTGGAGCCTGATAGACTGGCACAGAGCCAGATAGATCAAGGAAATAAGGTTATCAAAGATAACTGCCACACAAGTTAATGTATGTGATAACTGTAACTACCTAAATATGTGATAACTGTAACTACCTAAATATGTGATAACTGTAACTACTTAAATATGTATGTGATAACTGTAACTACCTAAATATGTATGTGATAACTGTAACTACCTAAATATGTATGTGATAACTGTAACTACCTAAATATGTATGTGATAACTGTAACTACCTAAATATGTGATAACTGTAACTACTTAAATATGTATGTGATAACTGTAACTACCTAAATATGTATGTGATAACTGTAACTACCTAAATATGTATGTGATAACTGTAACTACCTAAATATGTATGTGATAACTGTAACTACCTAAATATGTGATAACTGTAACTACTTAAATATGTATGTGATAACTGTAACTACCTAAATATGTATGTGATAACTGTAACTACCTAAATATGTATGTGATAACTGTAACTACCTAAATATGTATGTGATAACTGTAACTACCTAAATATGTATAATTGCACTTATGTATATCTATACCTAAATATACTTACTAGAACCTGCTTGACTGAGTCTAGATCATGTGGCCTAATACAGGTATAGAGTCTGACAGAAAAGGGTAGAGCCAAGCAGACTGAGCCAAGAGTTTGTTAAACTCGGGAAAATTTGATAGTTTGATCATGGAGTCTTGAAAGACTAAGTGTAGAGCCTGATAGACAGGTGTAGAACTTCGTAGATTGAACCTAGAGCATGACAGACAGATGTAGTCTAATAGAGTGAGCCTTCCTGATAAAGGTGTAGTGCCTGATAGAGTGGGCCTGGAGTCTGATAGACAGTGCAGAGCCTGATAGAGAGGTGTAGCGCTTGATAGAATGAGCCTGGAGCCTGATAGAGTGAAGCTTGAACCTGACAGAGAGGTGTAGCGCCTGATAGAGTGAGCCTGGAGCCTGATAGCGAAGAGTAGCGCATGACAGAGTGAGCTTGGAGCCTGATAGAAAAGTGTAGCGCCTGATAGAGTGAGCATGGATCCTGATAGAGAGGTGTAGCCCCCTGATAGAATGAGCCTGGAACCTGATAGAGAGATATAGCGCCTGATAGAGTGAGCTTGGAGCCTGATAGAGAAGTGTAGTGCCTGATAGAGTGATCTTGGCACCTGATAGACAGTGCAGAGCCTGATAGAGGGGTGTAGAACGTGAGGCCAGACTCACCTCTGTCTCCCTGGCCAGGCGACGGAACAGTTCGTCAGACTCAAACTTGGTCTTCTGGTCTGGCACAACCCGCGGCATCTTGAACATGAGCCGCGGCTTGGGCGGCTGCGGCTGCGGCTCGTAGAGTGCAGGCAACGGCGACTCGTAGTGCGGCAGCATCATGGCCGTGGAGACCGGCACCGGCTCGTTCATCATCATGATGATGGCTGTTAGCACGAACCTGATAGAGCAGTACGATACTCGTAGTGTTAGCGTACAGCGCTGTTTATCAGCACAGTTCTTGTGGTATTGACGTACAACGTTCTTGTAGCGTCTATGTACTGAGTTGTCTATCAGCACAGTTGTGGTTGCTGCGGTCTCGTTAATGCGTAGAGTGGCTCCACCACCACCACACAGTTCTGGAAGCGGTTGGTCTAGTGTGGCACCAATACCGCACAACTCTCGTAGCGGTTTAATGCGGGTTGTGTGAAAGACTAGAGAGGAGAGAGTGCCTGTCTCCACACCCTCCAGGTACAGCTAGCTGGCGGCGGCCACTACACACACACACACTTGTCCAGACCGCAAGCTGGTCCAGACCGCAGGCTTGTCCAGACCGCAGGCGCCCCTGCACAGCGGTTAGCTCATCTAGCCGCACATTCTTGCAGCCTTGACTATATATACACACGCCTCTCCACTGCTGGCAATCTTACCAAACCACAATACAGATACTAAACCAACACAGTTTATCCTGTCAACCACCGCACTTTCTAATTCCTCCTGGTATATCCTTGTTAACCGCAATTTTTTATGTCGTAAATAGTCCGCAACTAAAGAGCGATACTCAAACACCTTTTTTTGGTCTTATATATTTATTTTTTCCGCCATGAAGTTACATTACAGTTGTGGTTGGTTGGTAGCAACCTGCAGGCCTTGTTACTACTCTCTCCTCAATACATCCTCCCTGTGAATTTAATGCTGTTGTATTAAGGAGTTATGACAGTTATATTTCGTCCAAGGACTCAGTCATTAATTGTATTACCGTGTTGTATCCTGGCCACAAGCGTTGTATACATTCATCAAGAGATAGCAGTAGTAGTTGTAGTAGTATCTTAATTTCTACAAGTACATGTACAAGGTATAAAGGTCTAGCTGACATCAATGACTTACTACTACATAGAAAACCGCTTGTTATGTAGAGCATTTCGGGCAAAATAGGTCAGTTTTGTCCCAGGATGCGACCCACACCCAGGTATCCATTTTACTAATGGGGATCATAGACAAACCGGTGTAAGGAAAGACGCCCAATATTTCTACCCTCGCCGGGAATCGAACCCGGACATTCGCCGTGTGAAGCGAGAGCTTTAGCCACCAGGCTACGGGGCACAGTAAATAAGACACTTGTGCAACACTTGGGTATCTTCTCGGCAATAAAAACACCCTAGTGTTGCACATGTGTCTTATTCATCAAGTTGTATACCAGTAATGTATGATAAAGTATGCCATACACTAAGCTATTTAAATAATTCACACTAATATAAGTGATATTTCAAATATTTTCGGTCAAGCTAGACTCTCGTCAGGCAAATGTTATTTAACACACGCTGTAGATTGATCCACATTTGTTGCAGTATCACTTGCACTCCACCATGTGTTATTGCAATATTTTATAAGAAATGTATCATATTGGGTAAGTATACCTTGTGTTGAATGAGTTATGCCTTGTGTTGAGGGAGTTATGCCTTGTGTTGAATGAGTTATGCCTTGTGTTAATGGAGTTATGCCTTGTGTTGAATGAGTTATGCCTTGTGTTAAGGGAGTTATGCCTTGTGTTGAGGGAGTTATGCCTTGTGTTGAGGGAGTTATGCCTTGTGTTGAATGAGTTATGCCTTGTGTTAAGGGAGTTATGCCTTGTGTTGAATGAGTTATGCCTTGTGTTAAGGGAGTTATGCCTTGTGTTGAGGGAGTTATGCCTTGTGTTGAGGGAGTTATGCCTTGTGTTGAATGAGTTATGCCTTGTGTTAAGGGAGTTATGCCTTGTGTTGAATGAGTTATGCTTTGTGTTAAGGGAGTTATGCCTTGTGTTGAATGAGTTATGCCTTGTGTTGAGGGAGTTATGCCTTGTGATAAGGGAGTTATGCCTTGTGTTGAACGAGTTATGCCTCGTGTTGAGAGAGTTATGCCTTGTGTTGAACGAGTTATGCCTTGTGTTGAGGGAGTTATGCCTTGTGATAAGGGAGTTATGCCTTGTGTTGAACGAGTTATGCCTCGTGTTGAGAGAGTTATGCCTTGTGTTGAACGAGTTATGCCTTGTGTTGAGGGAGTTATGCCTTGTGTTGAGGGAGTTATGCCTTGTGTTGAATCAGTTATACCTTGTGTTAAGGGAGTTATGCCTTGTGTTGAACGAGTTATGCCTTGTGTTGAGGGAGTTATGCCTTGTGTTGAGGGAGTTATGCCTTGTGTTGAATGAGTTATGCCTTGTGTTGAGGGAGTTATGCCTTGTGTTGAGAGAGTTATGCCTTGTGTTGAGGGAGTTATGCCTTGTGTTGAATGAGTTATGCCTTGTGTTAAGGGAGTTATGCCTTGTGTTGAATGAGTTATGCTTTGTGTTAAGGGAGTTATGCCTTGTGTTGAGGGAGTTATGCTTTGTGTTGAGGGAGTTATGCCTTGTGTTGAGGGAGTTATGCCTTGTGTTGAATGAGTTATGCCTTGTGTTGAATGAGTTATGCCTTGTGTTGAATGAGTTATGCCTTGTGTTGAGGGAGTTATGCCTTGTGTTGAGAGAGTTATGCCTTGTGTTGGAGGGGAGTTATGCCTTGTGTTGAATGAGTTATGCCTTGTGTTGAATGAGTTATGCCTTGTGTTGAATGAGTTATGCCTTGTGTTGAGGGAGTTATGCCTTGTGTTGAGAGAGTTATGCCTTGTGTTGAGGGAGTTATGCCTTGTGTTGAATGAGTTATGCCTTGTGTTGAATGAGTTATGCCTTGTGTTGAATGAGTTATGCCTTGTGTTGAGGGAGTTATGCCTTGTGTTGAGGGAGTTATGCCTTGTGTTGAATGAGTTATGCTTTGTGTTGAGGGAGTTATGCCTTGTGTTGAATGAGTTATGCCTTGTGTTGAATGAGTTATGCCTTGTGTTGAGGGAGTTATGCCTTGTGTTGAATGAGTTATACCTTGTGTTGAGAGAGTTATGCCTTGTGTTGAATGAGTTATGCCTTGTGTTGAGGAAGTTATACCTTGTGTTGAGGGAGTTATGCCTTGTGTTGAATGAGTTATGCTTTGTGTTGAGGGAGTTATGCCTTGTGTTGAGGGAGTTATGCCTTGTGTTGAGGGAGTTATGCCTTGTGTTGAATGAGTTATGCCTTGTGTTGAATGAGTTATGTCTTGTGTTGAGGGAGTTATGCCTTGTGTTGAGGGAGTTATGCCTTGTGTTGAATGAGTTATGCCTTGTGTTGAGGAAGTTATACCTTGTGTTGAGGGAGTTATGCCTTGTGTTGAATGAGTTATGCTTTGTGTTGAGGGAGTTATGCCTTGTGTTGAGGGAGTTATGCCTTGTGTTGAGGGAGTTATGCCTTGTGTTGAATGAGTTATGCCTTGTGTTGAGGAAGTTATACCTTGTGTTGAGGGAGTTATGCCTTGTGTTGAATGAGTTATGCCTTGTGTTGAGGAAGTTATACCTTGTGTTGAAGAGTTATGCCTTGTGTTGAATGAGTTATGCCTTGTGTTGAGGAAGTTATACCTTGTGTTGAGGGAGTTATGCCTTGTGTTGAATGAGTTATGCCTTTTTGTTGAGGGAGTTATACCTTGTGTTGAGGAGTTATGCCTTGTGTTGAATGAGTTATGCCTTGTGTTGAATGAGTTATGTCTTGTGTTGAGGGAGTTATGCCTTGTGTTGAGGGAGTTATGCCTTGTGTTGAATGAGTTATGCCTTGTGTTGAGGGAGTTATACCTTGTGTTGAGTGAGTTATGCCTTGTGTTGAATGAGTTATGCCTTGTGTTGAGGAAGTTATACCTTGTGTTGAGGGAGTTATGCCTTGTGTTGAATGAGTTATGCCTTGTGTTGAATGAGTTATGTCTTGTGTTGAGGGAGTTATCCTTGTTTGAGGAGTTATGCCTTGTGTTGAAGTGAGTTATAGCCTTGTGTTGAGGAGTTATACCTTGTGTTGAAGGTTATGCCTTGTGTTGAGGAGTTATGCCTTGTGTGAATGAGTGATGCATCTTGTTGAGTGAGCTATACTTTGTATTGAGTGAGTTATACCTTGTGTTGAGTGAGTTATACCTTGTATTGAGTGAGTTATACCTTGTGTTGTGTTATACCTTGTAATGAGTGAGTTATGCTTTGTACTGAGTGAGCTATATCTTGAGTTGAGTAGCTATACTTTGTATTGAGTGAGTTATATCTTGAGTTAGTGAGTTATATTGTATAATGAGCGAGTTATACCTTGTTTGACTGCTACTTGTTAGAATGTTATACCTTACGTAGTTGTGTTACTACTTGTAGTGAAGATAATCCTATGTCATGAGATGTACGTTAATACCTTTGGTACTGGTTGAAAGTATTCTTACTTTGAGTTTATTGTTATTGCAGTTCTAATACTATATCTGTTAATGACCTGTTGAGAACTACTGTTACTTGTTTTGACTGTCTTTTGAAGTTAATCTCATATCAGTTAACAGTTATACATGTAAGTTTAATTCGTACTCCTGTCCTCATGTTATCAAAGTATTATTACCTATTGCCAGTTTATGTTTCCGTTAATCTAATTTAATCAGGTCTAACTGGGTCTGTTAACAGCTGAAACTGCATTAACTCTGTTATCTTGTTTTTGGTTCTTTAATATCCGACATATATTGTTAAATTCCATCAATGTTCCAGTATTTAGTCGTCAGTTAATCGTATTGGATTTTAAATTCCGTTAACCAGTTATCACATACTCGTATTTAAACTTAATCGTATCTATTGCTCGAGTGTTTGATCTTCGTTAATCCAAATTATTAATTCAGGTTAACTGGGTTGTTAACAGCTGAAACTGCCATTTCTTGTTATTGATGTTTTTGGTCTCTTATTAATGTTATCCCGACATTATAGTTGTTAAATACCGTTATCCAAAATGTTAAACCAGGATATTTAAAACGTTAGTTGCGTTATTGTGGATGTTTATAAATCCGGTAACGAAGGTTATCACATACCAAGATTTAGAACATTAAATCGTGTCATTATAAATGTTAAATCTCGCTATCAATGTTGTTGAATCATATTTAGCCAACATGTTACATAGTTATCCTTGTTCAATTCCGTTATTCTGGGCGTTAAATGCACTTATCTTGGGTGATGAAGACCGAAATCATAACCCCTTCTGACAACCTGCTCAAATCCCGTTACTCTCAACGGTTCAGATCCGTTATAACTCAATCGGCCTCTTCCCGTTACTCTGAATCTACGCTCTCCTGTCATGTTACAACAGATTAACATGTTAAATGTTTTATAGCGCGTGTCACGCCTGTACACCAAGGCTATTTAACATCCCTCCGGTCCGCTTCCCTCTCATCTACACGTCCCACACTTCCTGTTAGTCTTAAATGCATTTTAACACTGTTTACCTACGTAATCTCTAACCTTAATTGTATTTCCGGTTACTCTGTTACCTGTATGGATAGTTGCATATTTAAACAAATGTGTATTTAGATAATTGTAGATTTAGATAATGGTGTATTTAGATAGCGTAAATGCATCCGATAAGAAAATGATACAAGTTTGTGTGGCGGGGCACTGTTATTATTATAGAGAATCTATGGTGGACGAAATCAGGTTTGATCCAAGGAAGGGAACAGTAGCTTCAATTCACTGAATCAAGAGCTCTGAGAGTAGTCACAGGTAATTTATTCAGTACTATGTAGGTGACTACAGTTATCTTTCTACATGGAAGTAAATAAATTGTAGAGGTAGCAGAGGACTTGCACACTGGATGTTTACTGAGAAGGGTATCTAGATTAGGGTCTACGTGTACTTGTATCTAGTTAGGGGTTATCATGTACTGTGTATTTGTGTGTA